CTCTCCGGCTCGTGCCGTACTTGGTGGGAGAGGCTCAAGCGTCCTACATGGCGCTGAGTGAGGAGCACGCCCGGGATTATGAGACCGTACGGGCTGCCATTTTGGACTGCGTGGACCTGTCAGCCGAGTGCTATCAGCAGAAATTCCGGGCCGTGCCCTGGACGGCGGCCATGTGGCCGCAAGCATTTACCCAGAGGCTAGTGGACTGGGCAACCTGGTGGTTAAGGCCAGAGATGCATGCCACAGCGGAGATTATGGACAGTTTAGTCCTGGAACAATTGTTACAAAGCCTTCCCAAGGCCCTACGGGTCTGGGTGAGGCGACACCAGCCAGGTACTCTGGAGGCAGCGGTCAGATTGACCGAAGAATACATCGAGGCTGAGGGACCCCAGAGGGAGGACCGGCCCTGGAAGGAGAGGTTGCGTGGGAGGAGACAATCTGAACCAGTTTCCGGGGTGGCCCAGGGGAGGAAGGGCGAGGCCCGAGGGGAACCCGAATGAGCAGCCAGGCTAAGCTGCTGTCAATGTGGAAAGCCAGGACATATAAAACGGAACTGCCCGGAGATGGAGTGTGGGTGGGCCGAGTTCTGTGGGTGGACCCAGGTAGAGGGGCAGGCAGGGAGAAAACCCCAAGCCGGCCTGCTGGATACAGAATCCGGCTGTATGCTTGGCAGCAAGGGTTGGTAAAACCCCATTGGCTGGTCAGGGGGGTGAGAATGGCCCTTGGCTGCATAAATGGGGATAAAAAGTTTTGCCAGGTGGCCCAGGTACCCCTGGAAGTGAGGGGCCGCTTCAGGTGGAAGCGGGTGGGGGTCTTGGAGGAGCTACTGTATCCGGTGGTGGTGGGCAGGGACTGGGGCCCGCCACCATGAAGGGGGGGGGTACCCAGGTTATGGGGGGTGTACCGCCCGCACCAGAAAGCTGTGAGATGTGAGGATGGCAAGGGTCCATCAAGACCAACAAAACTCCTAGACAACAGAGCACATTGCAGGCAGACCCGCAGGAGGTCTACCTGGGGGAGCTGGCGGGCCCGGGCCCTGCAGAGGAAGGGCCAGCCCCCGTGGAGAGCCCTGTGGATGCAGTGCCCACGGATGAGACCCCAAACCCACAGGAGGGTGTGGGGGAAACTGAGGCAGGGAAGCTCCCGCCAGAAGAGGGGATAGGTTCCGACCCCATACCTGAAGTATGGGACAAGCGGGGGTTTGGGGCCCTGCCGTTGTGTGCGTGGTGTGATGACCTGTGCGCAGAGGCAGAGTTATGGGGACAGCCACTACCACCGCAGTGTATCTTCTGCAGGCGGGGGATGGAGCTATCACCGGCGGAGGTGGCCGGGGTCCACCCGGCCACAGGTGGAGGCCTCCCTCCAGAAGGCCCCACCCCAGGTCGAGGGGAAAAGGCCGAAGGACAGGCAGGCCGAGGGCGGCCGGGCCTTGCAGCTCTTAAGGGGGGAAGGGTGTAACAGGGTGCTGGCTAGGAGATCCAAGCCAGGCCCCTGTTAGCCCAGCTCCGCTTAAAAGGGGGATTAGTTAGGACTGGCTGGGGAGGCCACGCCCTAATCACCTCAGGGGATGCACCTGCGGGCCTGAGTGGCCAGCCTGCTATATAAAACTGGCTGGGAGGAAGCAAGGGAGAGACAGGAAAGGGAGGAGCAAGGAGTTCTAGATCCCTGCTGGCAGGAGATGCTAGCGGTCTCCCAGGGTGTTGGTCTGTAAGATATGTAAATAGGTGGTGGTGGGGATAGGCACGAACAATAAAAGAGCAGTGGTGCATGTACTTTGGAGTGGTCTCCAACTGAGTTTGTGGAGGGGCTGGGAGAAAGCACTTCAATTAGGGGGTTTGGAATGGGTCCCATATGAGGAGAGATTAAAGAGGCTAGGACTTCTCAACTTGGAAAAGAGGAGACTAAGGTGGGATATGATAGAGATATATAAAATCATGAGTGGTGTGGAGAAAGTGAATAAGGAAAAGTTATTTACTTGTTCTTATATTATAGGAACTAGGGGCCACCAAATGAAATTAATGGGCAGCAGGTTTAAAACAAATAAAAGGAAATTCTTCACACTGTGTACAGTTAACCTGCCTGAGGAAGTTGTGAAGGCTAGGACTATAACAGGGTTTAAAAGAGAACTAGACAAATTCACGGAGGTTAAGTCCATTAATTGCTATTAGCCAGGATGGGTAGGGAATGGTGTCCCTAGCCTCTGTTTGTCAGCGGGTGGAGATGGATGGCAGGAGAGAGATCACTTTATCATTACCTGTTAGGTTCACTCCCTCTGGGGCACCTGGTATTGGCCACTGTCGGTAGACAGGATACTGGGCTGGATGGATCTTTGGTCTGACCCAGTATAACCGTTCTTATGTTCTTAAAGACTGTCCCTATGCACATAAACAAAATGGTCCACAAGCCCCCTGCCTGACCCAACAGGGGAACGAAAAACAGATGCCAACTCTACCTCTGTTTGTTGTACCACTAGCTCTTCTCATACAAGTAAAGCAATGAAGAGTCGATATTTGTATCTTGTTAACTTGGGGATGGGACGGGCACCATCTTTAAATTTAAAACTGTAAGGAAAAATGCATGCACAAACTTACCTGAGGTCCCTTCCACTTCATCAGTCTCATCTGCAGTGAGTCTCAAGCATGTTCTGGCTCACATCATGGCTGGAGTCCCCCACTGTGTCTCTCCCCCCATCATCCTTGCTGTTCATGGCAGGGATCTCTGTCGGGCTCCTCCAAGGTATCCCCAGGGATCTGCAGAGTGCTGGTGGGGTCTCTGACAAGTATGGTATGCAGTTCATTGTAGAAGCACCAGGCTGCAGCCTAGCATCAGAACTATTGCTGCACTCCCTGGCCTTGTAGTACCCCTGATGCTTTTCCTTTGCTTTCACACAGCAAGTCTGCTGATCCCTGTCATACCTCTTTGCCTGCATCCCCCATGCAATCTACTCATAGATGTCCACATTTCTATGGCTGGTCCATAGCTGTGCTTGCATTGCCACTTCTCCCACAGGCCCAGGAGATCCAATTCTTCATGTGTACTCCAAGCAAAAGTGTATCTAGTACCTCTTTGTGTTTATGGAGCTGGCATGGGCAGTTGGGCAGTTCTACACAACAAGGATGAGCTGCTAGGTTTGCTCACCAGGGTGCAATCAGGAAAAAATCATTTCAAAAACAATTTTAGAGTGGGGGTGGCTCCTGGTCTGTGAGCCCTAGCCAGTGTAGTTTACAATTGTGACTAGAGGGGTCACTGTCACAGGGGATGGGGCATTGTGAGACAGCTGTGGAGGACACAGGCCGTGCAATGTTTGCATTTGCACTGTCGATCTCAGTAGGTCAACCATGGCGCCACACCGTTGGGGGAGGTGGCGTTACTGTGTCACTGTAATGGGGCACTTACATCGGCCATAGACAAATTGGAGCATAGACAGGTGCACAAATAGGTAGACAAGGCAACTTATGTTGACCCAACTTTGTGGTGTAGACCAGCTGAATGAGACACTATAGTGTCTGTTCAAGACCCAAAACTTTTAAACTACTCTTTGTTTGTTTAATCAAATGCTCTTATTTCTTAATCCCTATTTAAGCTATTGCCTCTGTTCATACTGGAGTGCCACAATCTTGCCAATTTGCAGCTGTGTTTGCAGTACATCCATGTTTGAACTTGTATTCAATGTTACCAACTATAATGGGGGGGGGGGGGTACTCATCTCTTGAGCACTTCCTGCTGCTGTGTGCAGTACTGCAGTCTTTTCCTCACTCCTGGTGCCCTCTGTAGGTTATCGACCTTGCTTGGTTGGTTTTCAGTGGCTCAGCCCTCTGGCCAGGTCACACACTGGAAGAGCTTCATTTTGAGTGTAACAGAAGTCCTATTTGCCCTCACCAGGGTCTTTAGCCCCAGCTGTAGGGCCTTTAAATTCAGCCCTTCTCTCAGGCTTCCAAACAAACCTTGTTCCCTTCTCTGGGGTTAAATTAGGCTTGTTCCACATCCTCCTTGGGGTTTACACCACTTCACCAGTGATCATTGGAGGAATGCAGGCCCACCTACTATGCTGAGTTCAACTCCAGGACCCTATAAACAGCAGTCATGTACTGCTCACTTCAATTCATTGCTGTACTTCCCTGGGCCTCTTCCCACCTGGCCCCTGTATCACCACCCCTTACCTCAGGTTAAAGTTCTCCACTCCTCTCTCTCCCAGTTTAAACTCTGGTTATCTCTCAAGCTCATTTAGCCAGAAAGAAGCACCCTTGCTTGCCCCTCTGGTCTCAGCCAGGAACTGTCCTGCTACAGTCCTGCAGCTCCTTTTATCTGAGCCTGCTGGGCTCTGACTGGCTGCTTCTGTGAGACCTCTGTAGGCAGACCCAACTTTGCTGTTCCTTTCCTGGGGCGGGGTGTAGTAGGAACACAGGGCCTCCTGTAGGGAGCTGTAAAGGCCAGGTAAACCCAGTTACTCCAAACTGCACGATTTCATCATGGGTTTCATGATATTTAGTGCTTTTTCTTATAACCCTAGACCCTGGAGTCATTGACACATCATTATCCCCACTTTCATGTTTTTAAAAAAGCAAGTTTCTAGCAGTGGTTATAGAGATTGTGTGGTTTTAGAGAAATGCTGGGAAATGTGTGCAAAATACAGAAGGGAAATAAAAAAACTTCAAATCCATATTAAAAATCTCATGATTTTGAAGCCAACTTTGAATTTTGAGGGCCTGATTCACCATTTTTCAATGCTTGGGGTTGGCCATACTGTTTTCATATGTATTTTTGACTGAGTGCACATTAGATATTGAGTGTATTATTTTGGCACTGGAGCATGTCACAGTTCTGCTCAGATGGTGATACCAGAAATGCATGTTTGTGCTTGGACATTATGTGGCATCACCAGGTGACCACAGTGTCTTTATGCCAGATCAGTGGGATTAAATGTGCATCAGCAATGCCATGACACCTACAGGACTGACTGACACCTCACTTGGCTGAAGCCTGCTTGTGGTCTCTTGCAGATTCATAGCCCGGCCCCTGGGCAGAAAGCTGGGGGTGAGGGACAAGGTGAGATTGAACGCTCCACCCAATCCTGTGCTGGAAACCTTCTACGCTACTCATAGCAAGAAGCCAAAGGAGGTGAGTTCCTTCTCCTTCTACCATCCTCCTAGATTCAGACCCTTGCATCCAGGCACCTTCTCATCACTAGCAAGCTACAATTTAATTGAACTGAGCTCTCATTTGCTAGTTATGAATCCTCATATTCATATTGTACATTGCAGGTGGCACCTGCATGTAGAACTGCTGAGAAACCCATTTTTTTTCCATAAAATGTTTCAAATGAAAATGTTTACAAATTTTGAATTTTTCCTCTTCTTTCTATCCCTTTGTTCTCTCTATTTCTGCAACAAGGTTAATGATCACAGAATATCAGGGTTGGAAGGGACTTCAGGATATCATCTAGTCCAACCCCCTGCTCAAAGCAGGACCAATCCCCAGACAGATTTTTGCCCTAGATCCCTAAGTGGCCCCCTCAAGGATTGAACTCATAACCCTGGGTTTAGCAGGCTAATACTCAAACCACTGAGCTATCCCTCCCCAACCTTTGAGGCATAGGTTGTTTTATTTTTCCATTTTTTTATTTTGTTTCCTTTTTCTAGTCTTTAACTGCAAAACTTCTCCTATTTTAGAAAAGTTACAAAGTAGCAAAAAGAAAATCAAAACCTAACTCTCTCACTCTGTAACTTTTCCAGAGTTGAAGACGTTTTGAAAAGTTAAAGAATGGAAAAAGGGGGCGGGGGGGAAAGCACATCCTTCATTTTATTGAATTCAGTGAGAGAAGTTATGATAAAATCAGGGACAAAGAAAAACAAATATCAAACTTTAAAATCCCTTGTTTTCAAAAACTGAATGAAATGAAAATTTCCTATAGAAAATTATCATAAAATGAAATCTTCCACAAAAAATTTTGGTTTTGATGAAATCCCATTTTCAGCAGGAAAATGTTTCAGTCAAAACATTTTGGCCAGCTCTGCCTGTAATGACTCATCTCACTCTGCATTTAATGCTAATTCTCTGTAAAGATTTTGCTGTTCATAGAATCATACAATATCAGGGTTGGAAGGGACCTCAGCAGGTCATCTAGTCCAATCCCCTGCTCAAAGCAGGACCAATCCCCAACTAAATGATCCCAGCCAGGGCTTTAACCTTAAACCTCTAAGGAAGGAGATTCCACCACCTCCCTAGGTAACCCATTCCAGTGCTTCACCACCCTCCTAGTGAAAGTTTTTCCTAATATCCAACCTAAACCTCCCCCACTGCAACTTGAGACCATTACTCCTTGTTCTGTCATCTACCACCACTGAGAACAGCCGAGCTCCATCCTCTTTGGAACCCCCCTTCAGGTAGTTGAAAGCAGCTATCAAATCTCCCCTCATTCTTCTCTTCTGCAGACTAAACAATCCCAGTTCCCTCAGCCTCTCCTCATAAGTCATGTGCTCCAGCCCCCTAATCATTTTTGTTGCCCTCTGCTGGATTCTTTCCAATTTTCCCACATCCTTCTTGTAGTATGGGGCCCAAAACTGGACACAGTACTCCAGATGAGACCTCACCAATGTCGAATAGAGGGGAATGATCATGTCCCTCGATCTGCTGGCAATGCCCCTACTTATACAGTCCAAAATGCCGTTAGCCTTCTTGGCAACAAGGGCACACTGTTGACTCATATCCAGCTTCTTGTCCACTGTAGGTCCTTTTCTGCAGAACTGCTGCCTAGCCATTCGGTCTCTAGTCTGTAGCAGTGCATGAGATTCTTCCATCCTAAGTGCAGGACTCTGCACTTGTCCTTGTTGAACCTCACCAGGTTTCTTTTGGCCCAATCCTCTAATTTGTCTAGGTCCCTCTGTATCGTATCCCTACCCTCCAGCGTATCTACCACTCCTCCCAGTTTAGTGTCATCTGCAAACTTGCTGAGAGTGCAGTCCATGCCATCCTCCAGATCATTAATTAAGATATTGAACAAGTATCTGTTGCTGTACCCATTCGTTACCTAGATAAGGAATGGACAGTGTGGCAGGGCCTGCTTGAGTCAACAATGCAATACTGTTGCAAAAAAAGTGAACATCTTTCTGGGATATATTGTCAGGAGTGTGGAAAGCTAGACATGAGAAGTAATTCTTCACTCTACTCAGCACTGATAAGGCCTCAGCTGGAGTATGGGCACCACATTTCAGGAAAGATGTGGACAAATTGAAGAAAGTTTAGAGTAGAGCAACAACAATTATTAAAGCTCTAGATAACATGACCTTCTGCAGAAAAGGACCTGGGGATTACAGTGAATGAGAAGCTGGATATGAATCAACAGTGCGCCCTTGTTGCCAAGAACGCTAACGACATATTGGGCTGCATTAGAAGGAGCATTGCCAGCAGATCGAGGGACGTGATTATTCCCCTCTATTAGGCACTGGTGAGGCCACATCTGGAGTTCTTTGTCCAGTTTTGGGCCCCCCACTACAGAAAGGATGTTGACAAATTGGAGAGAGTCCAGTGGAGGGCAATGAAAATGATTAGGGGGCTGGGGCACATGACTTATGAGGAGAGGCTGTGGGAACTGGGCTTCTTTAGTCTGCAGAAGAGAAGAGCGAGGGGGGATTTGATAGCAGCCTTGAACTACCTGAAGGGGGGTTCCAAAGAGGATGGAGCTCGGCTGTTCTCAGTGGTGGCAGATGACAGAACAAGAAGCAATGGTCTCAAATTGCAGTTGGGGAGGTCTAGGTTGGATATTAGGAATAGGGTGACCAGACAGCCAGTCTGAAAAATCAGGACGGGGTCGGGGGTAATAGGTTTCTATATAAGAAAAAGCTTCAAATATTGGGACTGTCCTTATAAAATCGGGACATCTGGTCACCGTAATTAGGAAACACTATTTCACTAGGAGGGTGGTGAAGCACTGGAATGGATTACCTAGGGAGGGGGTGGAATCTCTATCCTTCAAGATTTTTTTTTTTTAAGGCCTGGCTTCACAAAGCCCTGGCTGGGATGATTTAGTTGGGAGTGGTCCTGCTTTGAGCAGGAGGATGGACTAGATGACCTCCTGAGGTCTCTTCTAACCCTAATCTTCATTGATTCTATGATTGTGTGTGGAAGGGGCAGGAGGCAGGATTGTGTGTGGAAGGGGGGATTGTGTGTTGAAGTGGCAGGGGGGATTGAGACTGGAAGGGATGGGGGGGGGTGGGACGGGGGTGGGGGGGGGGGGGTTGTGTGTGGAAGGGGCAGGGGGATGATATTAGTTCTGAGGGATTTGGGAGGGGTTTTCATTTTAGTTTTAACAGTGGCTTAAATAGGTTTTTATGATTGATTGGTAACATCATTGTGGGTTCCTGGAGTTTGGATGGGCTCCCACTGACCAAACTGCCATAAATCAGCAGGCCTCTCAGAGGAAGTCTTCCGCTCGTCCAAGTGAACGCGATCACTCCAACTGCAAACCACTTCACAGTTAGGTGCTATTGGAGCCTCTGCTCAGAAGACTCCCATCCAGGCAGGTGTGAATGCTGCCTGGAGCTAGCAGGAGGCGTGGGTGAGGCCCAGAGAGCCCTGGGCAGAATGGGACAGATAGTGTCTTTATTCCTGTGATCTGAGATTGTAGCTGTAGATGTAGACTGACCAAGCCTTGGACTCATTCCGGCCCCTGCCCCAGGTGGGAAGAGGGATTAGTGAGGGAGGCTGGGCACTTCTGCTATTTGTGCCATCAGGGAGTGAGTCCTGTTTGCTTGGCTGTCTTCCAGGGGCAGCTGATCAGTTTATCCAAGCAGTGTGACTTGCCTACCAGAAAGGTGGAGAGGTGGTTCTGTTACCGGCGGAACCAGGACAAACCCAGCCTGACTACAAAATTCTGTTCAGTGAGGTGAGTGATGTGGCCAGAGGCCTTGGGTCACTTCAACCTTCCAGCAGGGTCTGAGCTCTGCAGTCTGTGCACAGCCTCCCAGCACCTCCGGGTGCCAGCTGGAATGTGCCATTCCCACTGCCCCTCTGCTTTGTCTCCCCCCTCCTGTGCTGCCTCCCTACCCTAAATCAGAGGCCTCGCTTTTCCCTCCACCTTCAGCCCCTGGACTGTCTCTTGGACCCGTCTCCTCCTACCCCTGCCCCAGGGCCGGCCCACAACATTTTGGCACCTGAGGCGGGGAGCTCAAATGACACCCTCATGCCCCCTTGCTTGGGCCAAAACTTTGAAAGGTCTCAGTTCTGCCTTCTTCCTGTTCTACTCCTCTCATGGTACTGCTCTGCTATCTACCAATAAAGGAGAACTAAGTTAAAATACCTTGTTCAAAACTTTTAAGTAACACTTAACTTTCAAACACCTGAACAGCAAATGTAACTTTTCTTCTCTGCATAGTAAACACTAGCATTTTTATCTGTTTGAATAATCAAAGTGGTGCTTTCCATGTCATCTTGGTTGCAAAGATTTGAACTGCTTCCTGCTGAAGGTCCATAGTCTGGGCCAGCTCATGCTCTATTGAGATGGTTGCAAGGCCGACCGCCTCTCCTATGTCATTGTGGAGCATAGATGTGTTTTTATTAACTTCAGCTTGGAGAAGCTGCGCTCTCCACTGGCAACAGGAAGTGTTATAAGTATGCGGAGAGCAACAAAAGCATTTGGAAAGAGGGTGGTCATCTTATTTGTGCACATATAGTCCAGAACAGCCTTTGGAGTTGATCCTGCTGAAATGTAAATTGAAAGGGCTTTCAGTTCATCACCTAAATCACTCGCATCAATATCGCGCATGTCATCATGTGTCAAAACTGTCTCTAGTGCCCTGCATTGCTGGTGTAGGTCGTCTTCAGGTATAGTGAAGAGTTTTGGAATAACATACAACATCCCAAATATACTGCGGTGTTCCTTGAGCTGCATGAAATGTTCTTCAACTGACTGTATTGATCAGTCTAGCACCTGGTTAAATAATTCAACTTTGAATTGTTGTTTGGGGTCTCTTATGGGATTATCCCGTGCCTCGTAATCAAAATGTCGTCTTCTTCGGTGACTCTTGTATTCTTGAATGGGTGGGAAAATAGCTTCAGTGTGAAGTTCCTCTGCCAACTTCTGTGCACTCTTCAGAACATTTTGAAATCCCTCATCTGACCAGTAAGACTGCAGGTCTGACTTTGCTTTGTCCGGTTGTTCCATTGCTCCAGATATATCAAGGTCAACACCTTGGAGTCTCTTGCTTACAACATTTATTTCAAACAGTATGTCATGCCACAACACTAAGCCACACCAAAATTTGAAGTTATGTATATTTCTGGTGATTCCATTTCCCTCTGCCCCACAGTTCTCCCATGAACAGTTCCTCTCCTAGCATTATCCACCATAATGGCAACTATGGCATCATCTATCTTCCCAATTTGGTGTTTTATAGGCTTTATCGCCTCCACTTGACTTTCCCATCATGTGGCACTCAGTGGTTTCAGTGTCAGAGAGGATGTTCCCAGATGTTGCTTCAAAATTTGCCATCGATGAGTTGACGCAGAAAAAATACACAGATGCTTTGAATTACATTAAAAAATTCAGCAGCCTCACTAGAAGCTGATGCTGCATCACTGACCACCAAGTTCAATGAATGAGAACTGCATGGGACAAAAAAAGCTCAAGGGTTTAACTCTCGGATCCGTGTCTGCACTCCTCTGTTCTTTCCTCTCATGTTGGCACCATTATCTGACCTCTCATGTCCGCTATCGCAATTCCCGTATCTTCCAGCTTTTTAAGAAGCACATTTGTCATACCAGCTCCTGTAGTATCATCAATGTCAATAAATTCTAGAAAATTATCTCTGACAGTCATCATTACAGGGACATTTTCACTAGGTTCTGTTTTTGTTACAAAACGCACCGTTAAAGTCATTTGTTCCGTATGGCTGATGTCAGGTGTGCAGTCCAGAGTAACAGAGTAATATCTTGCTGACTTCAGTTAGGGGTGACCAGACGTACCGATAAAATAAGGACTGTCCCGATATTTAGGTGTTTGTCCCACGTCCTGACACATTTCACTCCGCCGGCAGCACTTGGCTTTTTTTTTTTTTTTTTTTGCTTTGCTGGTGGACCTCCCCCAGCCCCATGTGTCCCGATATTTTCTTCCCCTCACCTGGTCACCCTAACTTCAGATCTGCCACAATCCTCTGTTTGACTTTTGTTGCCAGTGACTGTATGATCTCGTTTTGAATTGTTTTTCCAAGGTAGTCGTGTGTGTACATGTCTTGGGTGGTGACTCTTCTTAGATGCTCCTGGAGTACAGCATCAAACTCAGCCATCAGCGCCACAATTTTAAGGAAGTTTCCATTGTTTGGCACATACAGCTGATCGGAAGTGCCACGCAGTGCTAGGTTTTGGGTAGCAAGCATTCTCACAATGGCAATGAGCCTTTTCAGAACATTTTGCCAGTAAAGAGACTCTGATGCAATCTTCTCTTGATGCTGATCATCTATGGTGGCCTTTAACCAGAATTTCATCTCAAGCTCTTTCCAGCTATGGGATGCTCTCTGGTGATTTGCTGCCTTCTCATGGCATGCCAGATTTCTAGCCAGATTTTTTCAGTCCTTTGTTTCTGTATAACCCAATGTGGCTGGAACATTAGACTGGAAGAGTTTGCAACAAAAACAGGAGGCAGGATTCTGGGTTTTTGAGTACATAAACCATGGCCTCTCCACTTTGTCACCATTGGGGATTTCATGCCAGTAATGTGTTGGATGGAAACTTCTATTTTCATTGTCTTTGGGGAACATGAAGCTTTTCTCTTGCTGTGGCCCATGCAGTACAAGGACGTCCCTCAGGCTACTGCTCAAGTGGGTCCCCAGTCCTGGATCATCTAGACTTAAGGAACTAAACTCAGCAGCAGCTGTTTCTTGCACCTCCACCACACTCTTCTCTGATCTACACTTTTCTTCAGGAATGTGCCTGGTTACATCCATTTGAGATGGAGATATGGATGCTGCAGTAGCTGCCAGGTCACCTGCACTCTGACTAACTAGATCAGGCATCTCCTCACCACTCACATCCTCACTGGGGCTGGAAGGCTCACCGTGAGCTCCTTCCTGCTTAGATAGAAAAGCTTCCTTTGCTTTCTTTCTTTTTCTGAATGCTGCCCCAGAGGGGCATTTTCTTCTTTCACTCATGACTGCTGTTCTGCGCCAGCTATAGTGGCTCTCAACACTCAGTTGAAGGGGACAAATAAGCAGGCTGGTAGCGGGCCCTGAGTAAGGGAAGATATCAGCGTCTTAAGGGCCTAACTGGCTCCTACTACTTCAGTTGACTGCCTGTTCTCCTCAAGTGGGTTCAGGGAAGCAGCAGGAAACAGGAAGCTCCCTGAGAAGCTGGTGTGAATCAGTCCAGGCTCCTGGGGGTGCTGGAGAGGTACATAAGAGGCTCCTCCTCCTCTCTCTCCCTGCAGCTCCTGCTGCTTTCTGTTATTCCCTCTCACCTTTTCTCCTGCCTGCCTGTTATGTCTCTTGTGCCCTCCTTCCTCCAGCACAGCACTCCACCACCTCTGTGCATCTAGAGCAGAGAGAATACATATGCAACAGCAGCAGATACAATTTTCTACACTCTTGGTCCTAGTGGCACCCCCCCTCCCCCCACACACACACAGTCTGGCACCTGAGGCGGCCGCCTCAGTTCGCCTCATGGTAAGGCCAGCCCTGCCTGCCCTGTCCCCACCTGCTTTTACCCTCCTCACCCATAATTCATCCAGGTTCCCTTACCTTCAATTGAGTTTTCTCGTCAGGTTCTGCTTTCAAACATACATTCTATCCTGTAACCTGAAAAATCCCTCTCTTGACCCTACCTGTCTTCCCAACTACCAGCTGTTTCCCTTCTCCCGTTCATGATGCTGTGCCTGTAGGCACAGCTATGAGCTGGGGGGGTGCTGCATAAACTGCACCCCACCCAGAAAGGCTAGTGCCTCAGACCCCCCCTCAGAGGGTGTGCTCCACAGCAATGCTTATTCACTACTGGCCTCTACCAGCAACACATTACAGCATGTCCTGTGCCCCCTCAGTTGTCCTGGCCAGGGCATGATCACCCATTCCTTGCACTCCCATCCAGCTTGGGCTCCATCTGCTCTGAGCAGGAGTAAGCAGCTGCACAGAGCTAGAGCACAGAAGTTCTTGGCTCCCAGGAAACTATGCTGCCTCCTTGCCAAGCCCAACAGCATCCTCTCCACCAAATCTCCTTCATCTGTCTGCTTGCCTGTGACACAGATGGTCACTCCCACCTCATCCTCCACAAATGAAACTTGGCTGCCTGGTGCTTCTGAAACCAAAATATACCAAGCCCTACCCCAAACTGCCCCCTAAGGCCTTGTCTACATTGTGTAATAGAACCATTGGTGACTATAGTTGTCATGAGAGTGGCAACTCAACCAGTGGTGAATATGATGTGTTCTAGTCTATACTTCCATTTAAACCATGGTGAGCTCACAACCATTACTGACAGTTCCTATCAGCAGTACTTCAGTTTGACAGTATGTACTAGGGCTAAGGAAATTTAGACTGGGCTTATTAGAAGAGAATATGGAGCAGTGGGCCAAGGCTGATGGAAGTGATACAAGATACACTACTGTGCATTATAAGCAGTTATATACAGTATTACATGTTGCTCCTTTTTTGTGACTGAGGGAATAAAGTGCACCTAGAGCTCTGCTATCAAGTGGAGCTCATTTGAGTGCTATATGCTGTGCAAGTATGTATTCGCTAAGGTCAGTGGTTGCACGAATGACTGACACTAGGGGTGGCCAGAAAAGCTGAGCCTGACCTCTGAACTTCTAATTTCCTTTGTTCTTTTCTTACTTGCTTTTAGTTGGAGTTCTTTGTGTTACCTCATTTCCTTCTGCACTGGACTTGTGGTCTTGTATGATGTGAGTATGTAATCAGAACCCACCCTACCTTGCTAGCAATGATGCACAAAATGCAAACATGTTCAATACATATTTCTGTTCTGTACTTGGAGAGAAGCAAGATGATGTGCTTGTGTCACAGAAGGATGAAGAAGTACTTTCCAGTCTATCTACTAGGGGAAAACATTTTTAAATCACCCAAAAACTACACAGGAAGTTCAAAGGGCATAAAAGCTAACACAGACATTTCACCCTGCGAGGCCATCCACATATTAAAAGAAGCAGGAGCTTAATGTAGTCTAATGGAAAATCTTATTGTAAGACTGTTTCAGAATGCATCCTTTATGATGGGGTCAAAACAAGCACCTCCATTTTGTACTATTATATAATCTATAATGGGAACAGGCCTAATTCATTACCCAGCTGGTTGGGAGAGGAATGTTTCTGGCATTCTCACAGTTAGATTACACTGTTTCTTTACAGAAGCCCTGGTTTTGGGACCCAAGAGAATGCTGGGTGGGGTATCCACAGCAGGTAAGTCATCCAGGCGTGTTGGTCCATGTAACAGCAACTCAGAAGATTCACATAGTCTCTTGGTCTTTGTCAGGACCTGTACCAAGCAGCTGGATGCACCCCTTATCCTGTACTGTTTAAGGTAGACCTCCAGAGGGCTCTTTACAGAAGAGTTACAGCATGTGCCATGGACAGACTGGTATGCACGGCAGGTCTAGGTTTGAGTCCAAAGAATGCAATCACCTGTTAACAGGCAGGCTAACCCTTCAGTCAGCAGAGGTGTGACTCTGTGTAGACACCCACTTCCACAGACAGGTCATTCAAATCAGTGTAATAAAAAGATCCTACGTGGTAAAAGCAGAATCACCTCCAAGGGCAAGTACATTTCCCCCGTGGAGCTGAACATAGCTGGGCCTTCTGCAAGTCTGCATCCCATTGGTGTAATGGCTGTTCAGACATTCACAAGAGGGGAGAGATGTAAAAGGGCTGTGGCCATGTCAGGACTTAGCCAGCTCTGCACTCCTGCAAGCATTGGGGGACAAACTAATCTGAGGTGATAAGAAGGATCCTGTTAATGGTGAATAAAACACAAACAAGTCACTTTCGTCAGGGTTCACAAAGATTTCTTAGAGCATGGGAAGGCAAACAGTGCCCTCTCCCAGCTGCTGGAGGATGTGCTGGGGATACAGGCTTCTCCAGTCTGATTTAGGGACATCTCAGCACACTCTGCCTAACATCTTCCCCGAGCCTGACACAGGCTTCCCCAAACCAATCTGCTTTGGTCCTCTTGATGAGGAAGCACCCACAGCTTAACTTGCATCACTCCCTTGATACAGGTGCCTTCTCTGGCTTATTCAGAGAGATGAATTTAACCTGTTAATCTCCAGTACTGGGCAAAACCTATATACCCCATCTATAGGGGTTAAAACATATATGCTGTGGTTTCCAATGTCGTTAATGTTACTTAACTTAAGGGGATGATGTCACTTAACCTTTGATGGGATGATGTCTGTTCTATTGATTAAATGGAAACCTTGGTTACTGAGAGACAACTAGTTTTTGCCCTTGGGTATTCAAGTGCAGTGGAACCTGGGAATGCTATGATCTGTCCCAACAGGGCCTCATTGGATGGAAATGTCAGTTCTGTATCCCCTTCCTTTCTCAGTCAGCTCTAGGCAGCATGTCCCCATGGCTGGAGCACTAGTGTGGGACTAGGAGTCAGGAGACCTGGGCTTTTTCTGTGACTTCAGCTACTACAGACATGCTGTGTGACACGGTGCAAGTGCCTATTCCCTGCTCCTCAATTTTCCTGTCTTTAAAGTGATATTCTTCAGATAAACATCTTTGTAAAAATGCTTTGAGATCTGCAGAGGCAACCTGCTAATAAGATGCTAAATATTATTGAATATCAACAGTTTAAATCTAAAGCAAAATTATTTATGTATTTAGACTTAGAAGTGCTGAAAAGGGCTCCTGGGGCAAAAATCGCATGTGATCATGTAATTGTAACCCTTCTGCCCATCTAGTTGGCAGTAACAAGGGCCGGGTTCTGTATCTAGGGGTTCCGTTTCAATAACGCAATGCAAAACCGGCTCGAGCCCCCACCCAGTGACCTGGGACAATTACATACCACCCCCCTGGGTACCTCTAAGAGGCAATACTTCCCCTCTCGCAAGCACAGAGACTGAGTGTAGCAGAAAATGTTTAATAACATGAGGTAAACGACATCAGCATAAAATTGGAAAAACACCACAAACAGGATTCATAACACAAACCATGAGCAAAACCCACCCCAGCAAATTGGGCTGTGTCCTTTCCCTTTGGTTCTTGAATCCAGCAACCCAAAAATCACCCAGAGTCCCCAAAGTCCAACACTCCCAAAGTCTCTTGGGTCCAGCAACCACCCAAAGTCCAACAACCCCCAAAGTCTCTGTCCCTGGTCAGTGCAGCCCCAGAGTAAAAGGGGGGGCACGCAGGGTGTTAAGGGGCACCTTACGTGATCCGAGGCTGGCCAGCCGTCTGTTTCTCCATGGGGGTTCCGCCGCAGCCTTTACCACGAGCCAATCCACTTTCCTGCCATCCCACGAACTGCTCCGCTCTACAAGCTGCTCCGCTCCGCTCCCCAACCTGTGAGCCGTTCCAGCTGTCCCCGCAAACAGCTCCGCTCGCCGTTCCTTGGGCCACTCCAACCGGCCCCACAAGGCTCCACGCCGCTCGCTGCTCCTCCAGTCGTCCCCACAAATTGCTCCGCCAGCTGCTGAGCAATATAGCTTCAGGCTCCCCCACTAGTTAACACAGCACTCAGTGATATCAGCTCTTAATAACATCAGCTCTTTTGTGATTTCAGCTCTTAGCGATTTCAGCTCATAGTAGGGGAGCCCCAGTGCTGGTGCACCATTGGCCCAAAGTGAATTCAGCTCAGCAGCCTGTAACTAGACTCCTAAGGGAATCAAAGTTAGCTCTGACATTCAACAGTGGAGAGAGGAGGCGGTGCAATTGGTGTTTCAAACCCTCAGAGGGGGCCCATGCCATCAGATACAAATATCTATCCCCATCCTCTCTCAATTCACTGGGTTTTGTAACCCATGCCCCTTGTCAAGCAAGTGCTACTTAGGTAATGGTGAAGGACTCACTCAGTCCTTCTGTCATACAACAGTTCCACTGGCCTTGATTCACAGAATCAGGATAACAAAGCTTTATTCTTCCTGCCCCAATAATAGAGAAACTGGGGATCCCACACCAGCCAAAGTAACCACTTTCAGTTGCTGTGTTTCATCCCAGGCGAGTGGGTGTGCCTATGCAAACAAGATCAGCCCCTGGAGTTCTTTTCCACACTTGTCATAATTCACCACCAGATGTCAGGGTAGAGCTCATCCTGACTCTGCTTACATAATTAAAGACTGTATCTTAATCCATACATACAAAGGAGCTGAAGTAAGTTTGCAAAGGCAGTCTTAATCCTGGCACTTCCTGACTTTTGAGTGTTTGACTTTGCGACCCTTTAAATGGAGGGTTGTTTTTTTAATGTAATATACAGAACTGGGCAGTGTTTTAAAAGAATAGAAACAAGTTTAAAACAACCTACTGATTTGGTAGAAATAAACTGCACCCCTTACTGGACCATGTAATTGTATAACCTTATTACTATTACTCTTTTGTTCCCTCAGTTGTATTGTTTCTTACACCAATTTGTTGAATCTCTTTTTAACCTAGCCCTATTCCTTCTCTTAACCAAGCTGTTCCCTGGGGACAGACCCCTGAATCAAGGCACTATAATAAATCTCAAGTGTTGACTATGCAGCTTTAACACCCTATTAATGCAGGAGGGGCAGGAGCGGGTTCATGTCGTATAATAAATAGCTGTAGCATATCAGCTTGTAGGTACTGAAAGAGAAACAACTGTTGGGACCTCAGTGATCCCAGTGCCAAACTCTGGACCACTAGTCTCGGAGCCATAGAGCTGGTTGGGAATTTTTCAACAAAACAGAAAATTCCAATTTGGCAAAAACAAAATGTTGTGCATCCTAGAATTTCTGATTACAATGAGAGAGGCCAGTAGTGAGGGCACTCAGCTGGGGTGGAAAAGGCCCTGGTTCAAGTCCCTGGTCTAAATCTAGCAGAGGAGGGACTTGAATCTGGGTCATCCATGTTCCAAGGAAGAGCCCTGCTGGGCAGTTGGCTCTTCTGGGGTTGTGGCTGGGGGTATGTGTCTCCCTCTCAGATATATTTTTCCATCTAAAGGAGTCAGGTTCATCTCAATACAGACGGGGGGGGATTTAAAATCTCAAAATTTTTCACAGAACAGATAAACAATTTCCCACACAGCTCTACTGATTCACTCTTTAATCACTGCTATGGCTGCTTACTGAATTCCCTAGGCCCCAGTAAATGGTTTCAGACACCGCTGCAAAGAGAACCAGAGCTGAATACGTTTGCTATCTGCCCTTCCCCACGGTTTATGCATTAACTAAGCCTCTTTGTTTTGCTGTTGCAGCCACTACAGCACTCTATGTACTGGTACTACATGATGGAGCTCTCCTTTGCCTTGGCACTGACTTTCACCATGGCCTTTGATGTGAAAAGAAAGGTGAGAGGAAGTACTCAGATTCTAGACAGCGATGTGTGAGATATGACTGGCCAGCCAGTCGTTATCTGGGGTCCGATGCAAAGTAACAAAGTCAGGGACCTATCCAGCACCCTCCCACTTCTTTCAGCTCTGCACCCTCACAACTGTCTCCTATCTGCCTCATCAGTCTGTCAGTGACCCGCACTTCAGGCTGTGGGGAGATTCACCCCAATCTGTTTTAAACGCTCTGCATCCTATAGACCCGCCCTTCAAAGGCCAGTTTGGGAGATGCTTAGATTCTAGTGTGGTAAGTTCAGTATGGATCAATAGATAGATGCAGACAGAAATTATCCCTTTCCTTAGAGGGTTAATTTTCCCCACTCAGTGTTGACAGGAGGGCAAATCTATCCATTTCAGCAGAGAAAAGTTTTTAATTTAATGTCAAGATATATAAATCTGTGGGACTGAGCTAACTCAAAGAGACAGGTTTCAGAGTGGTAGCCGTGTTAGTCTGTATCAGCAAAAAGAATGAGGAGTACTTGTGGCATCTTAAAGACTAACAAATTTATTTGAGAGCGTATCAATTCATGGCCCTTCAAGACAGCCACACTCCACAGGGCACTTCAGCTAGAGGGATGTGTCTACACAGAGATTTGTACCAATTTAGTTAAGCCAGTGCAAACCCCTGTGTAGACACTCTTATTTCAGTTTCACTTAAACCTGTTCCTAAAGGTTGGTCTACATTCAGAAGTTGCACCAGTTTAATTTAAATTTGGTTTCAAAACAATTTAGTTAGACCAGTACTTACCCCTCTGCATCCACTTATATCACTTTAAACCTGGCATATATGGGTTTACATTGCACCTGTAATTTACAGGCACAAGCTAAATTGATATAAATCAGGTTTAAATAGCTTTAAGAGTGTTCACAAGTAAAGTGGCCCCAGGTTAGCTACATTGGTTTAAAATCACACCTTTAGGTGAACTGACACAATTTTGTGTTTAGACCAGGACTAATCCATTTAAGTTAAATCAAAATAAGCCTGATTTAAAATGAATTAAGGGTTTGTCTACACAGGAAAAATGCACTGGTTTCACCTAAGGGCATGGCTACATTTGCAGATGTAGAGCGCTGTGAGTTAAACCAGCCCTCGGAGACCGCAGCAGGGAAAGCGCTGCTGTGTGTTCACATGGTCAGCTGCAAGCACAGTGGCGTGGCCACATTTGCAGCACTTGCAGCGGCATTGGGAGTGGTGCATTATGGGTAGCTATCCCACAGAGCATCTCTTCCCATTCTGGCGTTGTGACTTATGGGAAGGGGGCACAGGAGGTGCGGGGCATTCTGGGTCCTGTTCCAATGCCCCGTGATGCATCGCTTCGCATCCCAGCAATCCCTGTGCTTCCGTCCACATTTGGCGCCATCTTTCAACGTTTTTTGTACTGCGTGCTCTGTCTTCCCTTTCTGTCTGCAGGAATGGATCCCAAACTGCTGAGGAATATGCTGATGGGTCTTTCCAGCATGTCATGAATTGCAGTCAAGTTACTCCTTAAGCTACAAACTGACAGTGAGGAGTCCGACAGTGTCGACTTGCATAACACATACAAATCAATGAATGAAAATCAAAAAGTGCAGGAGTGGCAGGAAAGTGAAAGGAGGCTCCGCCAGCAGAATGCGGATCGCTGGCACCAAAGTACAGAGCGGCTGAGCCCCTTTGCCCTGCTCTCTGGCTGTTCAAATTCAGCCTCCAGGTGTTGAACCTCCGAGTTCCATGCCTGAGTGAAGCTTTCACCCTTCCCTTCACAAATGTTATGGAGGGTACAGCACGCCGCTATAACCGTGGGGATGTTGTCATTGACCAGGTCCAGCTTCCCATACAGACAGCGCCAGCGGCCCTTTAAATGGCCAAAAGCACACTCCACAGTCATTCTGCACCGACTCAGCCTGTTGTTGAACCGCTCCTTGCAGCTGTCAAGGCTCCCTGTGTAGGGTTTCATGAGCCACAGCATTAAAGGGTAAGCGGGGTCTCCAAGGATGACAATGGGCATTTTGACTTCCCCTACAGCGATCTTCTGGTTTGGGAAGAAAGTCCCGCCTTGCAGCTTCCTGAACAGGCCTGTGTTCCGAAAGATGCGTGCGTCATGCATCTTTCCGGACCAGCCTGCGTTAATGTCCATGAAATGCCCATGGTGATCCACAAGCGCCTGGAGAACCATAGAGAAATAGCCCTTCCGAATAACGTACTCGAAGGCTAGGTGGGTTGGTGCCAGAATTGGAATATGCGTCCCATCTATCGCCCCTCCGCAGTTAGGGAAATCCGTTTGTGCAAAGCCAGCCACAATGTCACACACGTTGCCCAGAGTCACGGTTCTTCTGAGCAGGATGCGATTAATGGCCCTGCACACTTGTACCAAAACGATTCCAACGGTCGACTTTCCCATTCCAAACTGGTTAGTGACCGATTGGTAGCTGTCTGGAGTTGCCAGCTTTCAGATTGCAATAGCCACCGGCTTCTCCACCGTGAGGGCAGCTCTCAATCGCATGTCCTTGTGCCACAGGGTGGGGGCGAGCTCACCACACAGTCCCATGAAAGTGGCTTTTCTCATGCGAAAGTTCTGCTGCCACTGCTCATCATCCCAGACTTGCATGACAATGTGATCCCACCACTCAGTGCTTGTTTCCCAAGCCCAAAAGTGGCGTTCCACTGTGGTGAGCATATCCATGAATGCCACAAGCAATCTCGTGTTGTATGTGTTATGTGAGTCGACATCATCGGACTCCTCACTGTCAGTTTGTAGCTTAAGGAGTAACTCGACTGCAATTCATGACATGCTGGCGAGACCCATCAGCATATTCCTCAGCAGTTCGGGATCCATTCCCGCAAACAGAAAGGGAAGACCGAGGACGCAATACAAAAAACATTGAAAGATGGTGCCAAATGTGGACGGAAGCACAGGTTTTACTGGGATGCAAAGCGATGCATCACGGGGCATTGGAACAGGACCCAGAATGCCCCACACCTCCTGTGCCCCCTTCCCACAAGCCACAGCGCTATAATGGGAAGAGGTGATCTGTGGGATAGCTTCCCATAATTCACCACTCCCAATGCCGCTGCAAATGTGGCCATGCCAGTGCGCTTGCAGCTGACAGTGCTTTCCCTGTGCAGTCTCCAAGGGCTGGTTTAACTCAAAGCACTCTACAGCTGCAAGTGTATCCATGCCCATATTCTCAAAGTCATTTTTCTGCATCTAACTCATGTCATGTTCTGGGAAGCCAGGTGAGATCCCAGTACATCTAGAGAATTTAGATTATCTAGAGATAGTTTCTAAACACTGGAAAAGCAGTGGTAGCCCTTGTGCCGGTACCTGCAGTTTGTCACAAAACTGGAACTCAATCTGTCTTCTTATTCCAGGACTTTAAGGAACAAATGGTGCACCACGCAACTACCATCATCCTGATCAGTTACTCGTACTGTGCCAATTACCTCCGGATTGGGTCTTTGGTGATGTTGCTCCATGTTTCTTCTACTGCTCTCCTAGAGGTAGGTTATTCACTAGTTATAAAATAGCTGTGGCCAGGGCCAGCTCTAGCGTTTTTTGCCGCCCCAAGCAGGAAAAAAAAAAAAAGCCTCATCGCAAGCGGCGGCAGCTCTACCGCCGCTTCATTCTAAGGCGGCAATTCGGCGGCAGGTCCTTCACTCCGAGAGGGAGTGATGGCCCCACCGCCAAACGGCTGGACATGCAGCCCCCCTCTTCATTGGCCACCCCAGGCACCTGCTTGCTAGGCTAGTGCCTGGATCCGGCCCTGGCAATGGCACTTTGGCTTCCTTTCTTAGAACATATACTCCTGTTGCACTGTAATGGATACATTGCAATATCCCTTCCATGCTGTCTCCATTTTCTTGGTTTATTTTCATAGAACTGGAGGACTGGAAGGGACCTCAAGAGGTCGTCTAGTCCAGTCCCCTGCATTTTATTTTGTTATCTCTAAAAAGAAATGCTAAGAAAAAAGTTTTAAAAAGAACTCTAAGCAGCATTTTGTGTTGGGTGAAATAGTTCAGTCTCTTGTGTCGGACAATGTTAGGTTCTGATCCTGCTCTCTCTTACACACGTGCATAGCAACACAAGTGACTCCACTTCCAACTAACTCAACTTTCATTCTGGAAAAGTCAGAGTATTTCACCAAAGAAATAACCTAGACGATTCAACTGTCCTCCGATGAGCAATTATGTCAAATTTAGAAATTGTATTTATTTATTTTTTATTTATTTTATTTATTAAATTGTGAAATAGAGGGATTTTAGTCCTGCTTTGAGTGTAAATTTCAGCACAATCTTCACTATGGAATCTCTACTAGAACTTCCAAATTACTGTCACTATCTTTTTAAGAGTGACAGCTTCTGGTGACATTTGATTAGATTATATAGATACTTGGGCCCAAATTTTCCAAAGTCACCACTGACTATGCATGCCCCAGTTTTTGGGTGCCTAACTTTAAACCCCTCAATTTCATAGTTGCTGAGCCCCTGCAGCTCCCATTGACTTCACGTGGGGCTGTGGGCATTCATTACCTCTGAAAATCAGACTCAGGTGTCACAAGCTGGATGCCCAAAATCAGTGGCCAGTGGGAAATTTGGTTATGTGCAGCCTTAGGAATGTTTCCTTCTGTTTTACTGTACATGCTGGCTTGAGTCCCTCTCCGCAAAGAGTGGGTGTACGCACACTGCATGGATGCAGTTCAAAGTCTCAGAATACCTAGCAATCACCAAGAGTTTGAAACTTGTTTCTAGTTAGCTGGGTGAACATGTAGTCCAATCCCAAGCAAACATTATACAGCAGACTCACTGTAGTTTAGACACTTACACAGTTTACAAACCTGGGCATGTTCTCTCTTATAAGCATTAGAATTAAAATGACCAGGCTGTCCCCTGCCTTATAGCTTATAGACGTATAAAGTCTGTGTTAATTATCAAGTAAAAGAATTTATGGATACATATTACTACTTCTCCAGCTTGTTTGGTGATTCATGATTTGGTGCTTTTTCTAGACAAGTAGCAGCTTTAGAAGGAATTACTATTATTGGGTCTGATTCTCTGTGCCTGGCACCTTGTGTCACCAGTGATACCTGTGCAAAGTGAGGGCAAAATGCTGCCATTCTGATGTCAGAGCATTGTACACTCATTTTGCCCTGGGGTAAATGAAGACACAAGCAGGTCAGACAGGTGAAAGTTAGTTTCTCGCTGCTGAAAAGACCTAGATAAACATGGTCCCTGGAGCAGGAAAAACTCTCTGGAAAACACCTGAAAGTACTTTATTAAATAAAATTCAGGGCATAGTATGTAAAGAGTTCCACCTCTCTCAGGAAATGTAATTTCCTGCACTTACTTAGGGTCTCCACCTTGTCCAGGATGTGCTGCCTGCAGGTCTGAAAAGGGAGTTAAATTCCTATTACCCTTCTTTGGCCTCTGAGATTGAGGGCTGAATGTCGCACTGTGCCTCACTGTGCTGTGTGGGTGTTCACGGTGCTATCACACACTGGCTGACAATAATGGCTTGTTTCTTCTCTCCCCAGCTAACCAAGTTGCTTCATTACTTGAACTGGAGACGTGCAAGCCACCTTCTCTTCTTAACTTTCTCGTCCGTTTTCCTTGTTACTCGGCTCATCGTTTTCCCATGCAGGTGAGCCTCGGCTTTACTGCAGGTTTCTTCGGGTTTTCTTCAAATGCGCCTTCCATGGAGCATTCCAGAGTCACCAGGGACTTGCCTGGCTTGCCCAGCTCCCATCGAGTAGTTCAAAGCTCCTTGGGGGGCAAGGTTGATCCCACTGGGTCCTGACCCTGTTGAATCTGGGATAATTTTAAAAATGATTGATTTATTTTCCCTTTGATAAATAAACACACAGAATATCAGGGTTGGAAGGGACCTCAGCAGGTTATCTAGTCCAACCCCCTGCTCAAAGCAGGACCAATCCTGAAAGAGGGAGAAAACTTGTTCACCTTAGCCTCTAAGGATAGAACAAGAAGCAATGGGCTTAAACTGCAGCAAGGGAGGTCTAGGTTGGACATTAGGAAAAAGTTCCTAACTGTCAGGGTGGTTAAACACTGGAATAAATTGCCTAGGGAGGTTGTGGAATCTCCATCTCTGGAGATATTTAAGAGTAGGTTAGATAAATGTCTATCAGGGATGGTCTAGACAGTATTTGGTCCTGCTATACGGGCAGGGGACTGGACTCCATGACCTCTCGAGGTCTCTTCCAGTCCTAGAATCTATGAATCCCCAGACAAATTTTTACCCCAGTTCCCTAAATGGCCCCCTCAAGGATTGAACTCCTAACCCTGGGTTTAGCAGGCCAATGCTCAAACCACTGAGCTATCCCTGCCTGCTCGCTTGTCTGCCCCCTTCCCTTTCCTTTCCTTGGTTAGGCTAAACAAGCCAAGCTCTTTGAGTCTCCTCTGATAAGATAGGTTTTCCATTCTTCTGATCATCCTAGTATCCCTTCTCTGCACCTGTTCCAGTTCAAATTCATCTTCCTTAAACATGGGAGACCAGAATTGCACACCGTATTCCAGATGAGGTCTCACCAGTGCCTTGTATAATGGTACTAACACTTCCCTGTCTCTACTGGAAATACTTTGCCTGATGCATCCTAGGACTTCATTAGCCTTTTTCACGGCCACTTCACACTGGGGGCTCAGAGTCATCCTGTGATCAGCCAATAGACCCAGGTCTTTCTCCTCCTCTGTCACTTCCAACTGATATATCCCCAGCTTATAGCAAACCCCCTTGCTTTTAGTCCCTAAGTGCATGACCTTGCATTTTGCGCTATTACATTTCATCACATTTCTATTACTCCAGTTTACAAGATCATTCAGATCTTCTTGTATGATATTCTGGTCCTCCTCCGCATTGACAATACCCCCCAACTTTGTGTCATCTGCTAATTTTATTTGTACATTCCCACTTTTTGTGCCGAGGACATTAATGAACATGTTAAATAAGATCGGTTCCAAGGCCGATCCCCGAGGAACTCCACTATTAACCTCCCTTTGTTTAGGTGTTGGGCCATGCCTAGATTATCTTTAATCTCCACCTCATCCTCAGTGATTAGCAGTCCCACTTCTTCTTTCCTTGTTTTCATTTTATTTATATGAGTATAGAACATTTTACTGTTGGTTTTAATCTCCTTTGCAAGGTCCAACTCTGCTTGGCTTATGGCAGTTCTCACTTTTTCCCTACGCTTTCTGACTTCCAAGTGGTATCTTTCCTTGCTGATCATCCCATCTTCCATTCCTGGTAGGCTTTCTGCTTTCTCTTACTCACCTGTTTAAAATGCTTGTTCATCCAGCTTGGTCTGCAACCCTTCCCTATGAATTTTTTCTGCTTGCTTGCGATGCAGGCGTCAGCAACTTTGACTTAAAGTAATTCCAAGCCTCCTCCACATTCAGATCCTTGAGTTCTTCTGTCCAGTCCAATTCCATAAGAATTCCCTTAATTTATTAAAATCAAGGCCCCTAGTTGCAAATCTATTTTTGTTTATCCTTCTATTTAGTTTAAACTGAATTAGCTCATGATCACTTGAACCAAGGCTGCCCCCAGTTCTTCTGTGAGGTCCTTACTACTCACCAATACCAAATCTAAAATGGCATCTCTTCTTGTTGATTCAGTGACTATTTGGTGAAGAAATCTGTCAGTTATCACATCCAGATATCTCTGGGTCCTACCATTATTAATAGCACTTGTCCTCCAATCTATATTTGGGGAAATTAAAGTCTCCCATAATCACACAATTCCCAGTAGTATTTATTTCATTAAAAACATTAAAGAGGTCTCTCTCCAGATCCACATCAGATCCTGGGGGTCTGTAGCACACCCCAAGCATAGCCCAGGGGAACCTCTAGTAGCTTTCTTCCCCAAAGTGATTTTGGCCCAAACAGACTGTTTTATCCATTCCATCATTTCTATTTTTTTTACAGTCTATCTCCTCATTAATATACAGAGCTTCTCCACCACCTTTACCTTTATTCTGTTTTTTTCTGAACAGCACATACCCTTCAGTACCTGTGCTACAGCCATGACTACTATTCCACCGTGTTTCTATTATCCCTCTAATATCTGGTTTCACTTCCTGCACCAGTACTTCTAATTCCTCTATTTTGTTATCCAGGCTCCTTGCACTGGGGTACAGACATCTTAGTTGTTGCTGCTTGACTTCGCTCACATTCCTCACCCATTTGGGTACAGTCATTCTTCAGACAGTATCACCTACCTGACTGTTAGTGTCATTGGTATCAGCACAACCTTTCCTCTTGATGTCCGTTCTCCTACCCACTGCTGTTCCTTTCTCCATTGCCGTATCCTCTCTTACTTGATCTTCCTCCCTCTCAATGTTAAAATCAGACGTGGAGATTACATGAGCATCTCCTCCAAGTTCCTAGTTTAAAGCTCTTTTAATCAGTTGTGCCAACCTCCATCCCAGAAGTCTATTTCCCTCCCTATTCAGGTGAAGTCCATCCCATGAAGACAGTCGTTTGTCCATGAATGCCTTCCAGTGGTCAAACATCCCAAAGCCCTCCTTATGCCTGAAGAACAGGAGTACTTGTGGCACCTTAGAGACTAACAAATTTATTAGAGCATAAGCTTTCGTGGGCTACAACCCACTTCTTCGGATGCATATATGCCTGAGCCATCTATTGATTACCATAATCTTGTTTTGCCTTCATTCTCCTCCTCCAGGGACAGGTAGAATCCCACTGAAGATCACCTGAGCCTCCATTTCCTTAAGCATCTTCCCCAGCCTGGCATAGTCTTCCTGGATGTGTTCCAGTGAGAATCTAGCTGTGTCATTTGTTCCCATGTGAAGGACAATCAGTGAATTCTTTCCTGCTCCCATTAGGACCTTCTTCCGTCTCAGGTCCACATCCTGTATCTTCACTCCTGGCAGATAGCTCACCCCTCTATTCTCTGGATCAGCTCTGGTGACACGCCTGCCAGTTTTTCTTAGTAGGGAGTCCCCAGTCACATAGACCTGCCTCTTCCTGGTGATGGTGCGATTCTCCAGCCTTCCTCCTGTTCTTTCAGGCTGCAAGTCCTCTTGTCTCTTGTTCTCATTTGCAATCTTCTGTGAGTCATCCTCTGTCCTACTGGGGCTCCAAACTCTGGCTATCTCCATTGACTCTTCCCCTCTTCTTGTAGGGCTAGCCACTCTTCTCTTCCTCCTGGCCCTCACACCTTCTGTTAGTGGCTGCTGTGCCCCTTCTTCATACTCCAACTCAGCAAACCTGCTTCTGAGCTTTGTTTCTCCTTCACTAGCCAGTCTTTTCCTCTGCCTGGTTCTTGTAGTGACGGGCTTCCACTGGCCCCTTTCCTCACCCAGCTGTCTCCCGTCACAGTTCTCCAGTCCAGCCTGCATCTGCAAGTCTTGACATTTCCTTTCAGCCTTGTCTTGCCATCCCTCATCATCTGCCTGAATCCCCTATGAAACTCAACCATAGTTACCACCTGCATCTCCAAACTTCAGATATTCTGTTCCATCAGCTCTATCAGGCGGCACTTCATACAAACAAAGCTCTTTTTTCAGGTACCTGCTCCAGGATCATGTACATCCTGCAGCTTCCACTTCTGGTCCTCTTCATTGTCTCTTCCATTGCTTGGGTCACTACCATTTCTGCCTCGGTGTCTGTCATAGTCTTCCCATCTAAAGTCCTGTCAAGGAAAAAGAAAAACAAAACAAAAAAACCAAACACCGACACCACACATTTCCCCCTCTCCCCCCTTCCCAACTCCCATGCAAAATCCCGTTTGCAGCTCTGACGGGACAGGAAGCAGCAGCTGGCTGGGCCGAAGCTGAACATGGGTCAAGTCCCGCCCCAAGCCGAGCTAAGCCAGCCGGCCAGCACCATGTAGTGACCCACACCGCTACTCCCCAGGACAGGATCGGCCTGCCACCTCCCCACCCCTGTCCGCAACGGAACCAGCCTGCTAACCCCCAGGACAGGCACAGCTTCAGCAAGGAGGTGGGAAGGGGGAAGCCCACTCTGCCTTCCCACTATTTGGGAAAAAATGCAGCAATACAGCAGGGACTCAATGGCTGTGCATATCCCATGAAAATCCAGCATTCACTCGGGACACTGGCGTGAATTTAAACAAAAAAATCTGTGATTTTTCTCAGCCTTAACCATGACTCCAAAATCCTTTTCAGAGTCACTGCTTCCTAGGATGGAATTCCCCCACCCGGTAACTGTGGCCGACAGTTTTGTTCCCAGCTGTATAACTTACATTTGGCTGAATTAAAATGCATATTGTTTGTTTGTGTCTAGCTTCCCAAGTGATCCTGATCACACTGAATCAGTGATCTGGTCTCTTCATTATTTACCACTTCCCCCAGTTTTTGTGTCATCCACAAACTTTATCAGTGATGATTTTATGTTTTATTACAGGCTATTGAGGAAAGTGTTAAATAGCACAGGGCCAAAAACCAATCACTGCATGACCCCACTAGAAATAACCCAGTTGATGATGATTCCTCGCTTATAGTTACACTTTTAGCTATGTCAGTGAGCCAGTTTGTAGTCCATTTAATGTGTGCTATGTTAATTTTGTATCATTCTAGTTTCTTAATCAAATATCATATGATGCCAATTCAAATACCTTACATCAACACTATCAACCAAACTTGTAATCTCATAAAAAATTATATCAAGTTAGTCTGACAGTATCTATTCTCCATAAACCAATGTTGATTGACATTAGTTGTATTACATTCCTTTAATTTTCTATTGAGTCCTATATAAGCCTCTCCATCATCTTGCCCAGGATTGATGTCTGACTGATAGGCTTATAATTACCCAGGTCATCCCATTTACTCTCGTTAAATTTTGGCACAACATTAGGTTTCTTCCAGGCTCTGGAACTTCTCCAGTGTACCAAAACTTACTGAAAATCAACATTAGTGGTCAAATAAGCTCCTCGGCCAGCTCTTATAAAACTCTTGCATATAAGTTATCCAATTAAAAAATGTCTAAGTTTAGTAGCTGCTGTTTAATATCCTCCTGTGTTACTGCTGAAATTGAAAGTTTTCACCATCATCATATGACACGACTACACCATTTCCCCCCCAAATACAGAGCAGGAATATTTATTGAACGGTTCTGACTTTTTTCCGTTATTACTGACATGTTGGAGCCCCAAGGTCTAGTCCCTGCTCTATTTATTTATTCAAAGTGGAACAACTTCAACAGGAGAGATTGATACAGAACCACACCTGAAACCCCAATAGCCTGGTGTTCAGGAGATGGGAGACCCAAATTACAGTCCCTGCTCCAAATAAGGCAGAGCAGATGTTTGAAAACAGATCTCCCATATCCCAGCTGAGTGCCCTAATCACTGGGCTGTTGGCTATAAGGGGGGTAGGCGTAACAGTCTCTCTCTTTTTGTGGCTTTTGGAGAGAGAGAACTGACCTGGTTTAGGCGCCTAATTCCAGGAGAAGGTTCATGGTTGTGGGCCTCAAGCAAAGCACCTCCCCTCCAGCCTAGAGTTAGGCACCTAACTACCTTTACGGGTGGGATTTAGGTCACACCCCTCTCTGGGATTTCCTCCTGGCTAAGTTAGGTAGATCCCCACTCAGCTTGCTGACGTCTGTGTCCCCCTTTCTTAGGTGCCTAACTTTCCTCCTACCTTGTATAGGGAGCCTGGGTGCCCAGGTTGGGGCTGATGGTTCCACTGGGCCACAGAGGACCTAACAATAAGGTGTTTCAGCACCTCTGTCTTGTTGGGGAACTAGCCCTAAGTGACCCCCAGAAAATCAATGTTCATGAAGGGTTAGCAATCTTGTCCCATTAAAATTAAACAAGTAAAACACACATCCAGTGTCTCTGGACCCTTCCTGTAATTTTCACACCATCTGGGTTTGTTGCTATAGCAATTTCCTAACCTTACTAAGAGCCTTGAAAACTCCTAATTATTTCTTTTGGCTTAAACTCCCAGTGTGATGCTGTGAGTAAGAGGGCTAATGTGCTGTTTGAATGTATGAATAGGAATATCAGGTAGTAGGGAGGTGGTATTGCTTCTGCATACAATATTGATGGGACCATTCCTGGAATATTCTATCCAGTTCTGGTGTCCTCACTTCAAAAAGATGTTGAAGAATTTGAAAGAGTTCAGAAAAGAGTCACAAGAACGATTCAAGGTCTGGAAAATCTGCCTTACAGTAAGAGATTTAAGAAGCTCAATCTATTTATCTTATCAAGGGCGAAATTAAGAGGTGACTTGAGCACAGTCTACAATTGCCTACATGGGGAAAAGAATTCTGATAGCAGAGGGCTCTTAAATCTCACAGATCAAGGTGTAATGATATCCAGTGGCTGGAAGTTGAAGATAGACAAATTCAAACTGGAAATAAGGTGCCAATATTTAAGTGATGATAATTAACCATTGGAACAAGTTGCCTAGAGAGTTGATAGATTTTTCATTACTGAAAGTCTTTAACTCAAGATTGGAGGGCTCTCTGAGGTGCACACTTCAGTTATGGATGTGATACAGGATTTACTGAGTGAGGTTCTATGGCCTTCCTATGCACTAGGTGATCATAATGGTCCCTTTTGGCAGTAAAATCTATGAAATGCATCAATTTATATCAGACTTTGTATCTTCAAATTTTGCTTATTTGATAAATAGTTTCATATGTCAGGGTGACCTAATTGTTTGTTACCTTTCATTTGCTTTGGACAATTTAAGACATTCATCCAGTGTACAGGCCACAACTGGCACAACAGAACTGACCTGAACTTCCACCCAGACCTGGAACTGAACACTCTGAGGTTGGCCTCTTGCTATTGCTGCTTAGATCTCATACCTGTTCGTGACTGAGTTTGTCTCTTGCTATATTGCAGGGTGCTGTATACTTCATTCTATAGTTCCATGGTGTCCTTCCAGCCCTTCTTCGGATACTATTTCATGAATGCTCTCCTGATGGTTTTGCAGCTGCTGCACGTCTTCTGGGCCAGCCTAATCATTCACATGCTCTACAAATTCGTCAATGGCACGGTATAGCCATTGTCTGTACAACCTTAATTCAGTCCCCTTATTGTATGCATTATGGTATGGTATAGTCTGTAGTTATGGGATCATGTACTACTTTTTCCATAAGATCCCCAGCTGCATTCAGTGTATAGAATGGATGTTGTTCAAGGCATGAATCAAGTCTGTGTAGAGAAGAAAACTTTTGTCTGTGGGAGCCCCGCTTTTCACAGGTGGTCACTAATTGTATGTTCCCTATTTTTCAGATGTCTAGCTTGAGACTCTGGGGTCTGACTTACAGACATGAGCACTCACAGATGCAGCTGATGTCCATGGCACAGATAAAGTGCTATATAATGCTATATAACTCTGGAAAATCAGGTCCTAAGCATCTCACATCAGGCACCCAAAATTAGTGGATATTTTTTACCTTAATCTCTGTGTGCCTCAAGTTCCCATCTGTAAACTGGGGGTCATATTCCCTTCATCGCACAGGGGAGCTGTGAATGTTGGTGAAGCACTCCGATATTTTAGTGATGAGTGCTATGGAAAATCCCAGAGGAAATGAATAATTCTGTCTTCGAAGCATGGTTTGCAGAGGGTGCAGTAATTAAAGCCTGGGGCTGTACATTGAACAATGCGGAGAAAACAAGATATCAAATAGCTGCTCACTAAGTGAGCACTGTCCATCCTGTGCACTGGGCCCAGCTTCCAGCTGGCCAACACTGCTGATGCTGGTGCTGGAGCTGGAGGAGGGTGCCTGGCTGCTCTGCTCCTGCTGCTTTTCCGGGGGAGGGGTGGTGGTGCTGTGGGTGTCGCTCACCCCCCGCCTGGTTCCATTCTGCCAGCAGCAGCAGCAGCAGCTTTCTTGTCTTGTTCCCTAGCTCCAGCGTGGGAGGAGGCCTGTCCTCGGCAGTGTTGCCCCTTCCCGTTGTAGGTTTGCTTTGGCTTGGTTGGTGTTCTCCCTTCCCTCCCTTCCCCTCTTGTGTTTGTTTGGTCTGTTTGTCCCACCCATATTCCCCTTTTTCTCCTCCTGCCCTTCCCTTTTGTTGGGAAGACGGCTCCCTTGTGCTCCCCTTCCCTTCCCTGTTCAGCTTCCTCAGCCCCTGCCCAGGGAGCCCTTTTCCCTCGGGGGAGGGACAGGTTCCCCCCTGCTCCTCCTTCCCTGCTTCTCAATCCCTTCCCTTCCCCCTCCCCCGCCCGAGGTGCAGAAGGGCACCAGTAGAGCCACTGTAACCATGATATCTGGGCCAGCCCCTCCCCAGAGCCTCCCTCTCAGCCCACTCAGGTGCCTGGGATAGCCTCCTCATTGCACCCAGACAAGCATTATGGCCAGTGTGCACAGGCTTGAAGTGGGAGGTGGCAATGGCAGGAGATGGAGAGTGCCCCCTTGGGAGGGAAGATGGAGAGCCAGAGGTGCTGCCACTGGCCCCGCTGGCAAATGCCATCTTGCTTGCTGACTTGATATTGTTGCTTGGGAGATGGTCGGGGGGGGCAGGGAGAGGGGGGACAGGCGCAGAGTTAAGGGAAAGCACCAGGCTGGGGGGCAGCTGATGCTTTCAGATTTGGAGGAGGCCCCCCCTTCACCATTCTCAGGGGGATGCTGCTGTTTCTGCTACACCCCATTTAGTGTCCCCAGGAAAGTTCACTGGGTGGAACTGGCTGAGGAGGAGGTTTTGGGGGGGAATGTTATTGCTGCTGTTCCCCGCTTTAAAGGAGCCCATTGTGGAGGAAGTTGCCAGTGGGTTCCCTTGTTATCAACATCAGTCCCCCCCAGTTGGTGCCGAGCTTGAGATTTCTTCCTTGGTTGCCAGTGGGGTGGACTTTGTGACGGGGAGCCTTCCAGAAAACTTGGGGAGATCTGGAACCTGGGTCTGACACCAGCTGACCCAGGCTGGGACGACCATCTTCCCACAGATCCCAGTCTTGGTGCCAAGCTTATTTTGATGCCCCCCCCCCCATTCTCCTTCTGCACTTGACCCCGGCCCCACTTCGGAGGAGCCCCTTGGTCCTGGCCCTGGCAACCTCCTCTTCCTGAGCCAGTTAGAGCATGACTTCCTCTGCTACCTCCGAAGGCTGTGATATGACCGGCAGCTCTTTTATCTCCATCTGAGAGCTGTCCCTCAAGACCTCTCTGAGTTCATAGAATCATAGAAGATTAGGGTTGGAAGAGACCTCAGGAGGTCATCTAGTCCAACCCCCAGCTAAATCATCCCAGCCAGGGCTTTGTCAAGCCTGACCTTAACCTCTAAGGATGGCGATTCCACCACCTCCCTAGGGAACCCATTCCAGTGCTTCACCACCCTCCTAATGAAATAGTTTTTCCTAGTATCCAACCTAGAACTCCCCCCAGCAACTTGAGACCATTGCTCCTTGTTCTGTCATCTGCCACCACTGAGAACAGCCTATCTCCATTCCCTTTGGAACCCCCTTTCAGGTAGTTGAAGGCTGCTATCAAATCCCCCCTCACTCTTCTCTTCTGCAGACTAAACAATCCCAGTTCCCTCAGCCTCTCCTCATAAGTCATGTGCCCCAGTCTCCTAATCATTTTCGTTGCCCTCCGCTGGACTCTCTCCAATTTGTCCACATCCTTTCTGTAGTGGTAGGCCCAAAACTGGATGCAATACTCTAGATGTGGCCTCACCAGTGCTGAATAGAGGGGAATAATCACTTCCCTCGATCTGCTCCTACTAATGCAGCCCAATATGTCATTAGCCTTCTTGGCAACAAAGGCACACTGTTGCCGGTGTTTTGCCAGGACCTTCTCAGGATCTGGAAGTTGGTCTCCAAAGCCAAGTCTATTGTGGCCACCGAGGGTTTAGAGCTCCTTGCTGAACCCCTGTTCCACAATCCATATCTTGTGGCACAGGTGGTGGAGGTCCCCTTGTTGTGCTGGAGGTTGGTCCTGGCAGGTGTTTCCAAAACTGGAGACCTTCTGGGCTACAGGACAGAGTGGACTCTAGGATGCTCACCCAGCATATGGGGTTGCCCATCCCGCATGTCCTCTGCCATGTGCTGCGGAAGGAAAAGGCTGCCCTGCCTTCTGCCTCTGTAGCTTTCTTCAATGAGTCCTGCAGCATGGTGTTCCCCGTCCTCCCATCTCCCAAGGCCTGCCAGAGCTTGATGTTGGGCCCCTGCCCTGCGAGCCCTCTCCCGGCTGCTTTTGAGCTGGCTTGGACTTTCAGAAAGCCTTTAACAAGGTCTCTCACCAAAGGCTCTTAAGCATAAGAGGGAAAGTCCTCTCATGTATCAGAATCTGGTTAAAAGATAGGAAACAAAAGGTAGGAATAAATGGTCAGTTTTCAGAATGGAGAGAGGTAAATAGTAGTGTCCTCCAGGGGTCTGTACTGGAACAAGTGCTCTTCAGCATATTCATAAATGACCTGGAAAAAGGGGTAAACAGTGAGGTGGCAAAGTTTGCAGATGATACAAATTACTCAACATAGTTAAGTCCAAAGCAGACTATGAGGAGTTACAAAGGGATCTGATCAAACTGGTGGCTGGGCAACAAAATATCAGATGAAATTCAATATTGATAAATGTAAAGTAATGCACATTGGAAAACCTAATCCTGACTATACATACCAAACAATGGGGTCTAAATTTGCAGTGACCACTCAAGACAGATCTTGGCGACAACATGGATAGTTCTCTGATAAAGTTTGCTCAATGTGCAGCAGCAGTCAAAAAAGCTAAGAGAATATTAGGAACCATTAGGAAAGGGATAGAAAATAAGACAGAAAATATCATAATGCCACTATATAAATACGCCCACACCTTGAATACTGCATGCAATTGAGGTTGCCCCAGCTCAAAAATATATGTATTAGAATCGGAAAAAGTAAAGAGAAGGGCAACACAAATGATTACGGTTATGGAACAGCTTTTCTACAGAGATATATTTAAAAGACTGGGACTGTTCATCTTAGAAAGAGCCAATTAACAGGGGATAAAATCATGAATAGTGTGAAGAAAGTTGACAAGGAAGTGTTATTTACCCTTTCAGATAACACAACAACCAGGGATCACCCAATAAGAACATAAGAACGGCCATACTGGGTCAGACCAAAGGTCCATCTAGCCCAGTATCCTGTCCTCTGACAATGGCCAATGCCAGGTGCCCCAGGGGGAATGAACAGAAAAGGTAATCATCAAGTGATCCATCCTCTGTTGCCCATTCCCAGCTTCTGGCAAACAGATGCTAGGGGCACCATCCTTGCCCATCCCGAATAACAGCCATTGATGAACCTATCCTCCATTAATTTATCTATTTCTTTTTTGAACCCTGTTATAGTCTTGGTCTTCACAGTCTTGGCCTTCACAACATCCTCTGGCAAAGAGTTGACTGAAATTAATAGAGTTCAAAAAAGAATTGGATCAGTTCCTGGAGGATAGGTTGGTCCATCAGTGGCTATTAGCCAAGATGGTCAGGGGCACAACCCCATGCTCTAGGTGTCCCTAAACATCTGACTGTCCAAAGCTGGGACTGGAGGACAGGGGATGGATCATTCGATAAATTGCCCTGTTCTGTTCATCTCCTCTGGGGCACCTGGCACTGGCCACTGTCAGAAGTCAGGATACTGGGCTAGAAGGACCATTCGTCTGACCCAGTATGGCCGTTCTTATGTTCTTACATTTTAACTGAAAGCAGGGAGCCTGTCTCAGTGATCTCTCTGCTGGGCCCAGGCAATATGGAGGAGGAAGCTGTCAGTTCAAATGGAGAGGTGATAGCCTGACCTGGGGTGGAGGGGTTGGCCAGACTGGGAAAAGGAGAATGGGGAGACTGGGTCTGGAGGCTGATGGGGGAGATGCAGATTGTGACTAGGAGTTGGGGTGAAGGAGAGACTGGAACTGGGTGGGAAAAGACCCTAGAACTGTAACCTGAGGAGGAGCCTGGGAGCCAGGGGAGACTGGAACTGGCAGGGCAGGGAGACTGGGAG